GGTCAAAAGTTCTTTAATTTTGTCTTCGTAGTTCAATGAAGACATGACCACAGTTGCATTGCCCTTATCAGCTGGCAACACGAGAATCTCCTTAATGTACTTGTTTAAAATTTGGAAGCAATTAATGTCACTAATTGTACCTGAAATTTTAATCTAAACAATGGAATACGGGTGTGCCCAGATTCGATATGTCTTGGGTATAATTATATTAGTTTCGAATTACTTTCGTTACTCCACTGATCATTTTCTAACTCCACTTTGTACAGAAAATAAGGAAAACTACATGACTGCGACTGATGTTTTTTTAGAATACAAACTGCATATTATAAGTCTGTACCTGTTGCTACATGGTAGGACGACATTGCGGTACGATTTCCTGTGATCCGTACCGATCAAAGGAGGATAGCATGTGGCAAGTTATATCACAGAAAATTTGCTATATTTCATTGTAAAATCTCTAACATGCTATGTAACTATATAAAACAGCGTTATTCTAACGAAGCATGCGCAGTTTGTAAGATAAATTACATTCCAATATCTCACGTGACCGCCAAAAATCGTATTTCCATTTTGTAGTGAGGTTAGATGAACTACATTATTAATCCCAAAAGAAGTACACCTTCTTCAGTAGACAATTTAATTTTAATATACAAAATTGAGATGAAATCCTACCTCGATAATGTTGACAGAACTATGCACAATCCTATTAGTTCCCATAAACATGCTTCAATTTGATTGGCTGTACATAAAATAATATTTTTTTTGCATAATTGGCAAGCAGCCCACCATTCCTGATGTACTGAGCTTGATAAGAATGGGGAAAGCCATGGAAAAGCAAACATTTAAATCGCCATAACTCCTGAACAACTTACTTTAGGTAATTGTAGGCTTGCTTGTCAGAGTAATGTTAGTACGTTTCACCACCAAGCTTCGCAGTTTTAAAAGCATTGGTAAAGGGTGCATTTTGTAGCAGCAACAGTTATCTTCATATAGACTTTCGAGACCATTCCTTGATACTAGTGCGGTTTTTGGATTTTTAGGACGTCGTAAAAAAATTAACTTCTTCCTGACATTTCGCAAGAACGAGTGGCTTTCAGCTTCAGAGGTGGTTTGCTTAAACGTTTACACTGTTCTGATGCGATTCCTAGGGCGCACTCCGAATTATTCGGGTCCTGCGAGCTGACAAAGGCAACGGATCATTATGTCAGAAGCCCTCCCCCCACGTTTTTATGGATTACTGAAGGTTTACTAGGAAAGAATACCAGTTAGACCAATCGTCAGTGCCCCGGGATCACCAAAGTACAATATTGCAAAATACATATCCTCTCTACTGCAGCCACACTACACACACATCAAAGACTCCGAACAATTTATTGAAAATATCCTATCCCTCTGACTGGAACCTACTGACATGTTAGTCAGTTTCGATGTTGTATCTCTATTCACAAAGCTACCCTTGGACGAATCCATATAATTAGTGGCCGAACTATTTGAAGAGAGTGCAACAAATGTTTTCAAGGCTTGTCTAAAGGAAATATTTCCTGTGAAATGGAATCCTATGATGAGTAACCTTTCCTGTGATGAGTAACCATGGGAAGCCCACTCAGCCCCATGGTGACGAATCTCTTCATGGAGAAGTTTGAGGAAATAGCGTTGAGCACCGCACCCCTTAAACCAACGATCTGCTATCGATATGTTGATGACACATTCGTGCTATGAAGTCATGGACGCGAAAATCTAGACATTTTGCCGGACCATCTAAACAAATAGCATCCAGACATATCAAATTCACCATGGAATCACCAGTTGAACAAAACCACCAACGGTTGTTCCTGGACGTTTTGGTGTCTGGGGAAGGAAATCGCTTAGACCACGGTGTATATCGAAAAGTCACCCATAAGGAGAGGTACCCTCACAAGGTATCCAACCACCACTCGAGTTAGAAGCAGAACCGACGTTGAGCACCGCACCCCTTAAATCAACGATCTGGTATCGATATGTCGATGACACATTCGTGCTATGGACGTACATGGACCCGAAAACCATCTACATTTTAACCCACAGCATCCATAAATTAAATTCATCATGGAAGTTGAACAAAACCACCGACTCCTCTTCCTGGATATTTTCGTCTCTATGGAAGGGAAGCTTTTGGACGACAGGATATATCGAAAAGCCACCCACACGGCCAGATACCTTCACAAGCTATCCAGTCACCAGCCGAGTAAGCAGCTAGGAATCATCAAAATTGGGAATAGAGCCAGAAAAATATGTGGACCACAACATCTAACCACAGAGCCACAGCACTTAAGAAAAACATTTCTTTAGAACGAACATTCCCGGTTGGACAACAAAAGAGCTGTAGGGGTGGGAAGTGCTGAACGGAGTAAATCCACTCTAAAAGTATTCCTGTCCTTTGCTCTCAGGGTTACGAACATAATTGAGAGGCTGCTGAGGAAGCACAACCTAAGAACAGTCTGCAAGCCCACAACAAATATCCGAGAATGTCTAGGGTCATTTAAAGACAGAAGACCTCCCCTTGCAACTACAGGAATCTATCGAATTCTATGATGCTGTAGAAGCATCTACATATGAACAACGTAGAGATCGGTTGGGGCAAGAATAGAAGAACATCGACGCAATTGTAAACTGGGACATGTGCAAAAGACCGCAGTGGTGGAAGATGCCCTCAGCGTTGAAACACACAACAACAATTTTACAGAGGCACAGGTTCTGGTCACAACAATCGCTCCCGACTAGTACGAGAAGCCATTGAAATCTACATATACGGCGATAATTCCAACAGAAAAGAAGACCATGGTGCTAAATAGGATATGGTTTTCAGCACACACCTACGAAAAAACAGCATAGAGGAGCAACAGCTCAAGACAGAAGAGATAATTAACTACCTCGGAAGATAGCAACAGCCACCGGAACAATGTAAGCGGTCAAGCAAACCATCCTCTGAAGATGCAAGCCGCCCGTGCTTGCGAAACAAGGAAGAAATTCCATTTTACGACCGCCTAAAAACGCAAAACACTCACTAGCTTCAGTTATTTTATGACCAATGACATGGTATAATTATTATAAGCCTTTAATCGTAAAGTAAATAAAATGGGTTACCGCAAATAAGTTAAAAAAAATTAAAAATGTTAAACAAAAAACCTTTATTGTTGCATATTACGATGTTTATGAATGTTGTTTTATGAATGAATGTTGCTTTATGAATGAAGTTTCAGCGAATGTTACTTAAGGTATACTTTGATTTAGGAATTTTTTGAGATATTTTGATTTTAAAAAAATTCAGTCTCCAATTGTACCCCTAATTGGGGAAATGCTGAACTTCATGGAGATTTCCAGGATTTTTATTGGCCCCTTTAAGCCTTAAAAATTGTGTTTTTGTCTAAATTGCCAAGCCCTGTCCTTTCCTTAAGATGGATCTTTATTAGAAGCCTAATCAGATTATCTCCGTTCAACCATTTGCGCACTGATTTTACCGAATTATCTCACTCAATAAGGTAAAAAGTACAGAAAAATTTATATTGTTGCACTGTATTTCTGCGACAGGCAACTTAGCCATAAGGACATTATTCAGTGGAATATTGTGATATTAACCAAGTTTCCCTAGAAGTGAGCGTTAGATAGCTAATCACTTATAATTGTTTGTTAAATACATAAATAAACACCAAATGTTCTTGTTATTACCGAATAAATCGAAGTCTAAAAAGGAACTGCGCTTGACTGCAGGCTAAATTATAGTTTGGCCTCAACACAAATTATAGATAGAACATCAGTAATTACATGCAGGGCTTCAATTTTAGCTACAGGAATTTCCTTCTCAATCACGGAAAATGACCATAATCGAAATGCTTATTGAAGAGGGTACATTTTCGGTTAAAGGGCGCGACTCACTAAGTACGATAATCCCGAACGAAAGAGCTCCGGTTAGCGACTAAGCAAAAGGCAACTGATAATGACCGTTGACAATTCTTACAAATTATCTCGTTAAATCGGAAAAACAAAGAGTCGGATTTAACGATCTCCCTAATGCTGATCATTATTTATTGATAGAATTGACATTAACCTTCAAGGCTTACCCCCATCAGCCTTTGAATAATCTTGACTAGATGGGGGTCTTTAAATTTAACCTTCACTAGAAAATGGATGTTGGTTTGGTTCAGTGCGATCAGGACTTTGAGTATAGTTTGCCAAGCCATTGGAAATGATGTTGAGCAATAAAATTTGGTCAAGTAGCCGATTTCTGTATGGCTCAGTTATCCTTCTGGTCAGCAGCGTATTGCTGAAGTTGTGGTTGTTTGAGTCCATGGTCAAGTTTGTCATCAGAGACGTGAGTTCTTGGGGGAAACAAAGCGGAATGGTTCTGAGGGTGTGATTTTAGCAAACAGCTTTGCGCAAAAGAAATCAAGTGCGTGAAGTCTATCTCAAAATTCCCTTTCCGTTGAACTTCAAGCTATACTTTTTTAACGTGACCAATCCCGAGGAGATTCAGACGGGTTCGAAACCTAAACTAAAAGAAGTTGGCCCATTTTGGTACGAGTAAGTACACAGTTATAGAAGTAGCCAGGTTGTTTGCAAACAATTTTCAGTGAAATCAAGGAGAAAGTTCAAATCATCGACAACGATACTGAAGACAGCCTCACGTACACCCCTTATGATCTGTTTGAGTACAATCAGAATAAATCAAATCAGCTTAGAGAAGACGACTATGTGACCATTATTCATCCAGCCATAGTAGTAAGTCAAACAAATTTCGAGCTTATGAGTCAACATCAAATTCTACTATTCCAGGGCATGGTCAACTTGGTGCTCAGAGACTCCCCAGTGTTTCTGTCCATCGTCAGCAAAGCAATTCCTTCGATTTTCAACAATCCACAAACTATATTTTTAACTGCAAAAGTGAAAGACATTCTGTTTGATGGAGTGGAACTGAATTGTTTAGGAAAAGATTTCGGCACTACTGCCGTATGTTCGCAAATGAAAAGCCAAATTCCGGGACTAAAGTTCAAGAAGGACAACGAGAATATTTTCCTGTTTTCCCTATTGGGATCGGTAAGGTGGTTTCATAGGCAACTAAAAGACCTGATGTCGATAAGTTTGCAGAGAAATGGCACTTTGACCAGAAGATTGAAAGTACATAGAGGAATTGCCCATGCGAAAGACTTGGGAAGGCTGGTAGAACTTGATGGGAAGAAAGAGATTAATATTTGGCGCCAAGCTGAATGCAACCGGTTTCATGGTACTGATGGTTGGATTTTTCCAGCATTGAGCACGCCGGAAGAAGGTTTGCCGTCCTTTTCCACAGATTTGTGCAGGTATTAACAAATAATATAAGGCTGACAGTCGACAGAAACTTTTTCTTATGAAACAGGTGATATAAAGGTTCTTCTATTTAAAAATATTATTTTAGATAGCAGCATCTTTCATCGTTTATAGTTTTTCATCAGTTTCCTTTATGAAAATAAATAAATAATGTATATGTATATTTGATTGGCCTGAAAGTTTCAATAATACGTTAGGTTTAGGTCTACTGCACTCAAAATTATTCTGTAAGGCTTAGATAAAGTAAAAAGTTATCGTCGAGAAAATAAGAAGCACAAAGCCTTTCATATTCTCAGAAAAAACACGTTTCATTCGTTTTATACCAGCGGATTTATTGAAAGGTGTCGCAATAAGTCTATATTTACGTTTAGAGTTTTGAATACAACAGACCCCGTTTAAAAATCGCGACATTTGAACACCCAAAGAAGTTCCGCCGTTTCCAATCGCTCTAGACTATTTCAGCTAACGCCTTTTTGGAAATATAAGCAATTCTGGGTTTGTAGATCTACAAAAGGCACAAAGACATTGTTTGTAGTAGTAAATCTAGTAAAAAATATGTTTAGAAAAGATGAAAATTTGACGTAATCTTTTTTCAATAGATTCGTAAGATTTGTTACACCAAAATTTACGTTTGAAATATTTTTTGACCACGGAATCCAAATTTCGTATTACGTAGCTTATAATTTCTAGAGGGCGCTAGCTGCCATAGTCTAGAGCCATTTAAAACACCAAAATATACACCCTTTAAGTTAGGAAACATCGCTTCTTTTTGTATATACCAAAACTGTGAACTTGATTCAAGTAAATTTCTCACATAGTTATGATATCCTATTTAGCCAACTCCACAAATTTATGATATTCTATTTCGCAGCTAAGCATAATGCATACATAATGTTCTTTAGTTTCATAGATAGTATGTAAACTCATCAGCATTAATTCAGTATATATTCTCACAAACCTGTAATAACGAACAGTTGTATCTTGAAGCTGAAATACATGTCAATCGAAATAAAAATTGTTTTAAAAACTCCCTTTCTAAGGAAGTGATTTTAACTACATCGTTTTTCTTTAGTGATATTGATTTCCACTTTCATACGCAGTCCCTCGGAAACTATTAACTTGTAACAAACAAAACTAAGACAAATTTGTCGGAATCGCAATTATTTTTCTTACACAAAATGCCAGTGAATTTTTTCCTATTAAATGCGAACCACCCTGTTTCAGGGCAACGTCCTTATGACATTTTTTTTTATCATCATCATCATCATCAGCCTCTCTCCGTCCATCTCTAGACATAGGCCTCCCCTATTCGTCGCCATTCACTGTCGGTCCTCTGACTTATCCATTGGGTAGCTGCCAGTCCTGGGTTTCTTTAATTTGTTCTGTGCCTCAACTCAATTGTCTACCTAGTCCATCTATTATCATCTATCCCCATCAACTGACCAGCCCATTTCCATTTTAGCCTCCTCATCCGTTCTGCGATGGCTATCACTTTTGTATTGTCTGTTTTTCCTGATGAAATGTCGAAACATCTTTTTTGGTCTAGAAGCGTCAACCTCCGCTATATAAACGATACTGTTCTGAAGAAAATACCAGTTCGTATTTATGAAACGGACCTAGGAGACCAGATGACCGACGAAAATGAAAAATGCTACTGCCGAAGTGCTGACTCTTGCTTAAAAAAAGGTGTGTTTGATCTCTCCAAGTGCATGGGTGTGCCAATTTACGCCACCTTGCCCCATTTTCTACGCACCGATCCCAGTTACATAAATCTGGTTGATGGGCTGGCACCCAGCGAGCTCCTACATGCAATCCGAGTTTATTTCGAGCCGGTAGGCGAATTTGGAAAAGTACTGGATTAATTAGGTTGTCATCTGGTCGATATTTTCAGATGACTGGAACACCTCTATTTGCTGCCAAGAGGATGCAATTTAATTTGGATCTTAAGCCCACGAACAAGATTCCCTTGTTCTCCCACTTGCCCACCGCACTGTTTCCGATGTTTTGGCTGGAAGAAGTAAACGATTGTTCTAGGACATATCCACTTGACTCGCTGCTTGTTTTTTAGAGTGTGGACCTGGATGGATACTTGCTGAAGAAAGTTCAGACGGTTTTCTTGCTGCTTCACGCTGTGGACATCATACAATATTTGATGATTGTTATTGGCTGTGGATGTGTAACCATTTCCATGTACTTTAGACTAAAAAACAGAAAGAGTGTTACTATTACTCCTGCTACAGGTTCTAAAAAAAGTGCACCTCCAAAGCCCATTGATGAAATGGACGTTTCACATCTGAGCATTGCGGGTATATTGGGGGACAGGCCACAGAAGAAGGCAGTGGTCAGTCAGGTGATGAGTGGGCATGAGTTTGATAAGTACTGAACGTTTTAAACTCAAATGAACTGTTCAATTCAGCACATAAGACTAAGGACGAACACAATTGTTGTGAGAGATGAGCAAATCTCAATATATAGATCAAAATCACCAGTAAAAACAAGTTTTTTAATTTGATACCTGACGTGCTACATGCAATTTTTTTTCCTATTTTTGACATATTTATACAGGGTGATTCAAACATTTTTAAGGGGTGATAGAGGCTCACTTAGAGAGTACGAGAAAAATATTGAAAATTTTTTTTTCGAAAATGTTTAGAAGATATTAACAGTTGATCCAAGAAGATCCAAATTCAACTTTGATATTGAGCATTATTTTGAAATTGTTCCATGTTTAATCGGTAGCATATTGGAATGCTTACGCATTCAAAAAGAAAAATTACGATCTTTGCTTCAAATTACTAAAATTTTTAATATCGAAAAAGTTTTCTTCTACAATTTTTTGATTAAAAGGCACTGCGGCAATGATGTTTTTTGTCATTAACAGATAGTTACAGGTGGATAGCCCTTGTCAATCATAACAATAATTTGTCAAACTGTGACTTACTTTGAA